ACACACACACACACACACACACACACACACACACACACACACACACTGCAGGCTCAACACACACACACACAAACACACTTGGCCGGGCAATGGGCAACAACTGTTAAAGCTTCCCACAGAATTTATATCCATGAATTAAATATAATTTATAAGGTTTCAAGACATTTAAGGACACAACAGACACTGTCTCTGGCATGAAGCCAGTCATCGTATACTGTTGTTTCGTGTACAGTTGTTTTGCCCATTTTACTGCATGGGCCCCTCATTTTTGTACAAGCCTCTAACAGCAAGTTAGTTTGTAGACATGCTCATTACCAGGGCGTATTTAAAAGCCCCATCAAACTGTGGTAACTGGAACCTAGTTAAACCATTCTGGGTATAACGATGGTTTGTATAAAGACATTGTTGATTTCTGTGGCCTCGTAGGATAAATACATTTAGCTTTAGTCCTGCTCATAGAGTCAGATGCAGTAGTGACAGAGGATGCCAGCATCCCTGCAGGGTTTAAACTGCATAGCTGACAACTTGGCTGCTTCTTTTATGTTTTCTTTTTTCTCTTTTGCCAAACTTTCTAAGCACTTAAAATCAATGTAAGACAACTATTTAAATTGGGTACTATGTCATGTCTCAGGCCCTAACCTATTTACTCTCAATTCCCTCCCCCCTATCGAGTTCTATTCCTGCCACCACCAAAACGGCTTCTCTCAAATTGTCCCGGTATAAAATCCATGCAAATCAGTCAATTTAAACTGCTGACATGGTGTCAGTGAGGGCCCCTGGGAGCAATCAGGCCACACTTGGGCTCTGCTTGGTTGAGCATCCCTTAGAGAGGAGGAGGAATAGGAGGAAAAAGGAGGAAGTGGAGGTAGAGGAGGGGAGAGGAGAGGAGAGGAAAGGAGAGGAGAGGATGCTCTGAACTCTGAAGGTCCAACGTGCAGCCTCCGTCTGCCCATTCCTGTCCCATTGTCAAATGATATAACTAGGTATCAGCCTGTACAGTAATTAAACCTTAAAATTGACAATCCACCACTTTTTATAAGCTGTGTGCTTGAGGACTAAAATTTATTTTGGCAAAACAGTAAAATACCATCACAGCCAATCAGGGAAGCACACAGTTGCCCGATGAGTAGCTAACATTGCAATCCTGTCTCTCATGTCAAGTGCTCTTCAAAACAGGCACGTACAGGCCAGCCGTTCATGGAATTGCACGAAATGTCGCCTGTGTCTGCATCTCAGACACACACAAGCACACACACACACACGCACGCAGGCAGGCACGCACACAGGCACGCACACAGTCAGTCTTTATCCCTGCTCAGGTAAAACCATGCCCAGCATCAGATTTATACAACAGCTCCTGTGACTTTTCTTTGTTTCAAACTGCCTGAGCTGAGCTGAATCTTCACTGGCCTCAAACTCTCTTGTGTTTGTTTGTGTGTTTATATTGGAGCTATTGTGTTTTTTTCTTCTTCTTCCTCCACGGCTAGACGTGCGTAAATACCCGCTGACAGACCCACCACCATCAGCCACCTTTTTGGCCAGGAGCCCAGGCGGGCAGCAGGCGTCTGCATTCCGCTGAAACCAGTCTCCGCAAAAAGGACCCCCCTCCAAAAAAAAAACGCACAAAGGGGATCATCACAGGAAAAACTTCACGGGAAATCCACCCGTTAATAGACCCTTTGCGGATATAAATATCCGCTGAGATGCGCGTTATACGCGTAAAGCGCCAGATTGCAATTTAGGGGGGTTATTCTAAGCTTTATTATCGGCGCTGAAGAAATATACGCAAGTGTCGGAGTATTCCAGAATATTTACCTCAACCTATATTCCCGAGAGGTCCGGCAGGAGAGGTGACGCTGCAGCCTAAAACCAGAGCACTCGTCTACCTGTTTACCCCGCATCTCTGTGTCCAAATATCAAATGTAAAGACAGGGACAGTGAAGTCTTTCGCTCCGTGTCTCCCTGCCTGGCTTTGACCGTGATCTTGGCTGGCTACACTGGCAAGGGACACACCGGGTCACCCAAATCTACCTCCAGCATTCCTCCATATCCCTGCACACACGCTGCTGCTGTTGGCTCAGGGAGACATGAATAGCATCGGAGCGCACAATAATCCCCATCCAAAGAGACCAGAGCCAACCCCCGTCGGCTTTAAATATAACTTTTTCTCCAGGGCTGAATCCCTGACGTTATCATCTCTGCTCTGTGCATTGCATGTCTATATGTGCTGGGAATCATGCTGAGAATTATCTGGCATTCTCAGGGTGCTAAATTTGCACTGACAGCATGCACAAACACACAAAGCGCAGACGCTCAGTAAAACGCGTAGTACTTACGATTTGAGGGGGTTCTGCACCGCTGTGGCCATTTTGATACAGTGTGATAGAATGCAACACTGCAGAGCCCGGTATTGTACATGTAATGTAGCAGCTATTTCAATTTCATTCATTCTCTGGGGCTGCGGCTGGAGCGAGCAGCCAATGGGAGGCGGAAGCGCGCCGTGACAGCTTTGGGGGAAGTGTAGTTTTTTACGCATGTCAACATGGAACATGCCGAGGAGGTGGGTACTACAAGTACCAGCGGGGACAGCGGCGTGAGTGGACCACGGTCCCGCCTCGGACCTGTAAGGGTAGATCCATCCCCCAAGATCCGAATTTATAATGAAATGTCTACAGTTGTGTCAAAGCTGGATTGCAGGTCTGTCTGTCTGTCTGTCTGTCTGTCAGCCAGGTTTCAGTCTATGCAGTGGGAGGTCACATCATCACATCATTGCAAAGTGTTGAATGCACTTCGTGATTATCTAATTTAAGAGAGAATGCAATATTCATAATTTATTTATATTTTTTATTTTGCATATGCACAGAAGTATAATAAACGTGATCTATTGGCCAGATGTGACTTTACGTAGGTGTGTATTATGGAGAATAACTATTTAAGGGATCATAACAGTGGTCAATCATGCGCTATACAAAAGTTAGAGAAACTATATCAGTAGTGGGCTGTTTGCCCTTAGTAATACTTAGTAAAGTATATTTTAGGGCAAATTAAGATTTTGCAGCAGGTTTTGTGAGATATCAGTCAGATGTGACTTTGTCTCTGTGTATAGAGAATAACAAGTCAAGGCATCAAACATGCAAAGGAAATATTTTCAAACAGTTATTAATCATGCAGTGTATAATGTTGGGCTAATATGCAATACAAAGGTGAGAATATTGAAATGTGGGTGGTTATCTTCTATTAACAAGTGAATTATGTCTATTTTTGGGCAAATTAAGTGATATATTTATTTTGCATATATGAGCACAGAAGGGCAGCAGTTGTTTGTAAGATTAGTGAACAATTGGCCAGGGTGAATATTATGGAGAATATTATGGAGAATAAACAAAATACATGCAAAAAATACTTTCATAAGCACCATATGGTGCTCAATTGCTGTGCAAAAGTTAGAAAAACCTTATTATATATTTCTGTGGGCTGTTATCCTTTATTAACAAGTTAATAATGTCTTTTTTAGATCAAATTAAGAGACATAATGTCTACATAACCTTACATTAATGGTGGCATGGCTAATCTTATACTATCTAGGTAGCCTTGCACTGAGCAGCTTTAATTATTCATTAATCAGGGGTGATGGGTTGGGAGTAGGCCTATAATTGATTCTTTCAGACAAATTGTCTCTCATGGTAGAGCCCAGAGAGCGACTAGGACCCTCTCCAAACCCCTTCACTCCTCCATGCTTCCTTTGTACCCTTCCTTCATCTTTTAATTCAATCCTATTTCCCTGCCTGCTGGTAGCTTTTGCACACATGAATGTGTTGCACTAGTTATTTCAAGTTAGGATTTCTTGAATTTGATTATTTGTGGGAAGGAAGGAAGGAAGGACGGAATGGAGGAGGAGGGGGGGGGTAGAGCTCAGTCAGGACTGTCAGAGCACCAGTGCAGGAATCTCTTTCTCCATGTCATGTTAGCAGTGGCGCCGCTCTGAAGCCTTTCAGTGACATGTGATATTTATAGATCTGTACTAACAAATATTTAATGAACATTAGCAAGCAGCTCTAACACAGCAGCAGGGCTCAGATAAAACACCCTCTGTCAGTTAAATGGAAACATTGATTCTCTGAATATTGCTGTGATTAGGACTTTGGCCTACACTTTCTGTTATAGAACAGGCCTCTGTGTAATTTCCAGCTTTATTTGGAGGTGGATCACAAACACGGAATTTAATTTTGCACAACCTGCAGCTTCAATCCAGGCTTTTAAAAAATCCACCACAGAAAACATGTATAAGTTACGTGTCTGCTAAGTTGTGTAGTCTTCATGCCATTTTTTACAACATGATATCTGAAGTTTACTGAATGCCATGTTGTGTGTCATGCCTGATTCTGACCACACGGTGGTGCTGATGCATCGTGGCCCGAGGGTGCGTTGTTGCGTCTTACGTCACGACACCCGTGGCTCCTCCCACGGCGTCAGCGGGTCCACGCGCTGTTGTTGTGATTGACAGACGGAGTCATGTTGAACTTTCGTTTCTGTCTCTCCTCGTCCCAAACATGTCCCAAGTGACCGGGGGACCATGTCTGAGGCACTGATGATGGACATGGAGAGTCTGACAATCGGGCTGGAGAAGCCGCGGGAGCGTCCGGAGACGAGCGGGGCCCGGAGCTTCCTGCTGGTGGACGATCAAGAAAACCTCCAGGTAAAGTTAGCCAGCCGAGCTAAGCGTTGCTAACGGTTAGCTTTGCGAGGCTAAGAGCAAGAAGACAACGCGCTGGCAAACGAAGGCCATGAACCGTGTGTTGTCACCGATGCTAACTGTGCTGACACATAACCCAGCTAGCTTCACCGAGCTAAAAGCTAACTTCCTGTTGTCACCTGAAGAAGGCGAGCGTGTTGACACATTTCGCTTCGGCACTCGGAGCCGCTCGGACCACTGTCAACATGTTCCAGCTAACGAGAGCTCACGATCCGTCTCCGATGGAAGACAGACACACGCAGGGAGGCAGAGCAGCGAGTGGTGTCTCAGTGGGAATGTCCCTGCTGAGTCAGTCCATCTGAGCCGCGGACAGGCCGCGTCTGTGCTGCGTCTACAGCTGGAGTCCATGTTGACCGTGTTGGAGCGAGTCTAAGGAGCCTGGGTTCCTAATGAAATGTCTATTCAGTCCCTAAGTGTTCGTCCAAAGAGCTCTGCAGACTCAGCGCCACGCGGCCTTCGTGTTAAAGATGTTATCGCTCCGTTGAGTGTAAAGAGATAACACGCGTTGTTGTGTGTTTTGGTGTGTTGGCCTCCTGGACTGCATCGCCCACACAAATTCAATAAGTGACTCAGTGAAGTCAGCAGAAGAACCAGCTGGGCAGTGAACCAGTGTCAACATTGGGCTCCAAAACTGTGGCAGAGTCATTTATTTCCGATCAGCTGATGTGATCATTGTCACGATAAATCTCACATTCATTACCTGAGTGAAACAGCAAAACTTTCCACAAATCTTAGGTCGAAGTGTCATCCCCTGTGATTACACTATGCATTATGTTATATTGCATTAATTATAATTGTTTTATGATCCATCCTTATATAAATAATCATCACAATATCATGTCCATCAATTGCAATGTAACAAAAGTTGAATATGTAAGAATATCATGATTATGCATCGTGTCAGCACACGATAATTCCAGAGCAGTAGGAATTACATGTAATTGAGAGATTTTTAACATGTTTTTACTGTTTATGTCTTGTTCTTAAAGAAGAGTTTAAAACACTCACTCAACTCAAAACTTTGTCTTTAAACTTAAAGTAAACTAAATAAAAAGATGTTTAGGCAGTAGGCTCTATGCTGAGGGTTGAGTCCAGGGGCTGCAGGTTTGTTTCTGACCCAGCCCTCTGCTAAATGTCTTAATCACTCTCTATATTTTAATAAACAACAATGTGACATCTATCATACTTTATTATCTCTTTTTTATTATTATTTATTTATTACACTAATGTGAAAATGTTTATCTCAATATAAGTTTTGGCTGTATCATCCATCCTTATTGATATCATGTTGTGACAGCCTAGTAATCCATGCTCTAATTGGTGTTCCCCCTTTTTTCCCTCCAGGTCCAAGATGAGTCAGAGTTTTTGGACAGACTCGGGTGTGGGGACGTTGCAGGCGTCAAGGTTCTCTCCATCTTTGGCAACACTGGCGACGGCAAGTCCCACACCCTCAACCATATTCTGTTTGGTGGTAAGAGTGTGTTCTACACCTCCAAGTCCCCCAGCTCCTGTACGGTGGGAGTGTGGGCCGCCTACAACCCCACCCTCAGCCTGGTCGCCCTGGACACTGAGGGCCTGTTAGGTGCAGCAGCCAACCAGAACCAGAGGATGAGGCTGCTGCTGAAGGTAATTTTTATGGTCCAGTTGGTTCAGAAGTAATTAATGAATAGCTGGGTCTCTGTACATAAACTAATAAATTGTAAATACACTTCAGTCTGCATATGAATCACTGTTCAGTTCACATTTGGTGTCTTTACATGATTGGGAAAAGGGATGTTGAATCTTGCCTGTTGCTAGTGGGTTGCACTCAGACAGTTTAAGGGATTATTTAAAAAAAAAATACAGGCACTATAATGTCTTAATAAATTAAAAAAATAATTATAGCATTTCAAGATCCCCAGTCTTCTGCTCCAGCTCAGTGTTGCTCTAATACCATTGCATGCTGGCAGTATCAACACAGTCGTCCAAGAGTGGTGCTTGTTTTTCTAGATGTAATGTGAATTTGGGGACTGATCAACTCCTGCTATTCTTTTTATTATTGACCTCACACAATTATCAGATATCATGTGCTAAAGTCTATTGTCTTAACTCTCTATTCATCCACTCTTCTCTCTTTCAGGTACTGGCAGTGTCTGATATTGTCGTCTATCGCACCCGAGCTGAACGCCTCCACAACGACATGTTCCACTTCCTGAGCAGTGCCTCTGGGGCCTACCTGAAGCATTTCACCCCAGAGCTCAGGGCCCTCTCCAGCCGCTGTGGTCTGGATGTGCCCCTCTCTTCTCTTGGACCTGCTGTCATTGTCTTCCAAGAGACAACGCACACCCAGCTACTGGGTCATGGTAGGAGAAGAAAATATATATATATATATATATATATATCAATGCACACTTATACTAAAACACAACTTGGTTTGACAATTTTCGTGTGAAAATTATGTATTTTTATCGGTTTCATTTTCTTTTGCTCTAGACTCCATGGTGCCAGGCCATGCCGACACGCTGCTCAAGAAGCGTTTTCATGACCTGGGGTTGGGGACAGAAGCCTTCAGCTCAGTGCAGTACGTAGGCACCCAGACCATCACACCTCCCACCAACTACAACACTCTGCTGGAA